CACCAGCCACAGGAGCCGCTTCATGTAAATGTCATTTTACTAGCAAACAACTGGAGGAACTTGGAGGTTAAACAACAGGCACATGTAGGTTAGGTTCACATAGGACAGCAAGAAGTACATCATCAATGACAAGTACACCCTGGGTAGGAACAGAACACGATCACCCACTAACAACAGATGACAGATGGAAAGACGCCGACATGTTTTGCCATACACACAGGACTATACCAAAAGTTGTGTTCACACAAACTGCCTTTCAGAGCGCCAAACTCGGACTGTTTGACAGAACAGTTGATTCATCTCAACAATTTTCCTCTAAAAAGATACGTTCCAAAAAGCTCAACATGCAAGACTGTTTAAAAATTTAAATAAAATTAAATAAAGAAGGCACAAGCAAAGTGCACACACACACTAGCACCATCAGTCAGCATAGATTAATCTTAGTAATTAGGGGTAGAACAATATATCAAAATTCATTATACTGTGATACAAAAACATCACAATGTGCATTGTTTTGTAGATATATTGTGTGGTTTTCCATACACCAGCAACTTCTCTGTAAATAAGACAGCCTCACAGAACGCATGTCAATATATGTGGTTGTTCTTGACAATCAAACCAGCGCTAGTACAAGTGCTCCACAGCTACTCAAACATTGGCATTAAATTTTTAATTGTATCGTGACTGAATCGAATCATACACATCATATTGTGTATTAAATCACATCAAGAATGTTACAACATCCCATCCCTACTAAACACATTCAGTGGAGATTTGAAGATAAGCCGGCAGACAGCTTTAATACTACGTTTAGCAGCTACAAGAACAAAAGACAAAAAGCTAATAAACATGAAGAGACAATACTTAGTGGTTTTGTTTTTTTCTGGCTTTCCAAAGCAGCCCCTGTGTGCTCTCTCTTCAGGTCATCGTGCACAGCGATAGTGCCGTTTTAGTGCGCTAATGAAACCTGGCACAGTGTACAAACCACTTTTTCATTTTTTTTTTTTTTTTTTTTTAGTAATTTGAAGAACTCCTGTACTTGAGCAGTGTTGGGTCTTTTGAAACATTTACAGTGAAACTCTTTTGGAGATGAGTCAGACTCTGTTATAACTGCCATGAATTTGTAAAAATGTGGTGTTTACTGGAGCCAACCATTAATTGAAAACTGACACAAGCACACAGCAATTACAGTGATATTCTTCTTCTGTGGATATTACGTGTGGTTGGCAAACAGCTCTATAGTAACATTGAAAAAAAGCTTGTTTTAATGAATGACTGAAACGATGTGTTGGTCAGACAAATTTGAAGTCAGTGCATTTTCAGATTCAGTGAAATTGATTACATCAACAATCTCAGCAGCCCTATTTACGTCATAGTAAACAGATTTCATTCATATTCATAAAGCTCAGCAGTTCTCCCTTCTAGAGTCAGTTTTCTAGTTGTAATCTCTGCCCTCTAAAAACCTCTAAAGCATTCACTCCTCTGTCCAGTAAAAAAACTAGTCTGAGCTAACCGAAACCCCTCTTCTGTCGAGCCGGAATGTTTAGCCTGTGAACCTGTTAGAATTATGGGAAATGGTGTTCCTTAAAAAAACAGAACAAACAAACAAACAAAAAAAAAAAACTACCATCTTTATGTAAGCATATGAAGCAAGCCACTCCATACACTGTTGAGAAAGGCTCTGGGGGCCAGGGGTGGATTTTTAGTCATTAGCACAGTTAAAAAAGTCAAAGAGAATTTCAGCGAGGGTATCTTGGGTTGCACCCACAAGGGTCAGAGCCACTCGGGTCAAGTTAAACAAATCTGAACTTTTGGTACACTCCTACTCAGCTCTTGCAAAGTACCACATATACAACTAAACAGCAGTCAGAGAATGCAGCCTCCACCGAGGACGACTGTTCCTCCATAATGGAATAGAAAGAAAGAAAGAAAGTCACTTTCGCCTTTTCCCGTTTAGGGGTCGCCACAGCAAATCATCACACTGACGACTTGCATGTTGACATTTGGCACGTGTTTTACGCCGGATGCCCTTCCTGACGCAACTCTGATTCAAACCCGGGGCGCAGCAGCGAGAGGGCTGTGCCTTAACCACTAGTTTACCAGGGATGGCTGCTTCTCCATAATGGAATAAAGGCAATATTCCCATGATAGCTGGACCCTCATATGATTGCTTGACCATGAAACTAATTCAGTTCAGTTTTATTTGTAGGCTATATGGCCAATTCACAACAACTGAGCATAGTAAGGTCTAGACTTATTATAGTATTATAGGGAAAACCCCACAAATCCCCCTGTGCAAGCACTTAAGAAAAACAATAGACCTGACAGACATTCACTCGTTGGTTTAGGGGTAAAATGGGGACTTCAGTGAGTGGACCACAGGCAAAGCAGTGATGTCACATTTGTTCTGTTCTACAGGAGGGTGATTAATGAACAAGCTGTAAGGAGGCTTAAGGAGGACTTAGGGGGGCAGGACTGGGAAGCAGTTTACAGAGAGGAAGATTTAGACAAAGCATATGAGCAATTTTTAAATATATTTAAGGAAGTACATGACAGGAACTGTCCTCGTAAGCAGTATGAAAACAAAAGAAATTACAGTGGGAAACCGTGGATAAGTAAGGGATTACAGAATGCATGTAAAAAGAAGAATGCGTTATACAAGGATTTCATAAAGGACAGATCAAAGAAGACGGAAGTAAAATATAAGGCGTACAAAAACAAATTAATTGAGATTCTGAGGAGATGTAAGAAACAATATTATTCTAAAGTATTAGAGGATTATAAAAATAACATGAGAGGTACTTGGAATATATTAAATAAATTGATTAGAAATAGTCCCAGCAAGAGT